TGTTCCCTCCTTAGTTCTCTACCCCAAGTACTTCTTTTAGCAAGAGCATATGTCTAGATTATATTTTCTTATGAAGCTCCTTAAAAATAAAACAAAATGGAATATTCTACATAATAAATGAGAGATGGATCAAGCCACATCAAGTATTGGTTGTGGTCTTAATGATTTTTCAAAGCCAAGAATACCTAGGGAGATGGTATTACATAGAAATGATCATGGTTAGGCCATAGAACGTTCATTATGACTGCAGAAAATCAGTTCAGTAACTTTCTTCTTGCAGAAGATGACAGCTTATTTTCATAAAAGAAAACCTGGCAATAAAAATTAAACTTCTTTTCTAGGAAGTAATAATGACCAAAATATAATTTTATACATTTTATCTGTAAAATTGTATCCTTTATATTAGTTTGAGAATAGTTACTTATATAATAAAAAAGAAACTTAATATTCTGCATCTTTGGCTCCTTTCACAAGAAAAACACCATTACCTTTCTGACTGTATTTTGAACACACACAAATCCTTCAGGAAGAAACTTACCCCTGTGGGGATTGAGAAAGGATTGGAGTTAAGCACTGAAATAAGCAATTAATTCCCATTAGAGGATTAAGTTCACTCAAGTTTGCTTTGAGTCAGAAAAACAAACTGTGAATAAAATCATGTACAGCCAAGAAGTTACCTAAGTTAAATTAGAGAATAGAAGGGCAAACTGGAATGCACAGAAGCTGCGCAGCCACATGAAGCACTAGCAAGGAAACTGGTGGGGTTCTGTATTCATGGGTCAATATCCACTATTCTCAAGATGCTTTAGAAACATGGGAGGTAGAGTAGGTACAGTTTCTGCCATATGGTGCTGTCCTCACTCTAATAGATGTAGTCCATGAAAAGAGGTCTAAAAGCAGTTTCCACCCTGTTATGTTACCTTCTCTATGCATGACTTTCCTATAGTACCTTATCATTGAGAAATGCAAGATATTAACATTCAATTTAGCGAATTTTACTTTTTGGGTTTTAGAATTGATTCTAAATAAATTCAAGCAGCATCTCTATAAACAACTTTACTAACCTATAAAGTACTGAGTGGGAGACCACTGCTATAGCCAGGACTTGGGAATCAAAAGGCCCAAAAGCCAAACCCTTTCCCACTCCAGACCAGGCTGGTCCGGAATAATGTGGATATCCAGGAGTCAGCACAGAGGTGGAACAGACTCAGATGTAAAATAAAGTTTCACTTCAGCAAAATTTGGCTAGTTTAACATTGTCAATATTTAAGAAAACAAAAACACTCATGAAAATGTCCATCTGGCCTGGCACTGCTTGAAATGCCTCTGTCACTTATTCAGCAGTTTTCTTCCTTGAAACACAGTCCATCTAGAGTTTCATATTTCATCACTTAAGCAGAAATCAAAAATGATCACGAGTGCTTTGCATAGTTGTTGGATTTTTCCTGCTCAATATTTTTTCTTAGCCACCTGGTGGTAAGAGTGTAAAAGGCAGGATTTAATTTAAGCGTTTATTGTGCTAGTTTACAAATTAGAAATAGACATATGCCTGGACCACATTTAGAAACATACACACCTGGTGAACCAAACAAAAAAAGAGCTAGTATTTAACTCTTCTTAAATCAATCTGCAAAAGGATTTAAATGGACACCAGCTTCTACCATAAAAACATCCTTTAAAAAAGGTATCTCATAAAATATTCATCCTGTATTAAAATTTAATGATATGAAGAAATGTTAGTAAAAGCTGTGTGTCATCACTTCAAACTGTTTTCTCCAAGCAATAAAACGTCAAGGTACTAGAAATGCTTATTGCCTGTTGTCAAGTCAAGACTGTTAGAGAAGACAGGTACAATGACTGGATTTGAGTGGCATGAAATGAAGGCCCCTGAGGAGCCTGCTCTGCCACTCATCATCACTGGCTGGAGAATGAACTGTTTCAGAACCAAAATGCCTGTCCCAAAGAACAGCCAGGGAAGCTCCCTCTTATCTGTCTTTCCATTTGCTATATAAATCAGCTTTCATCATTCAATGTCTTATGTCAAAGTCAGCTCCAGCAGAATCATGGCTCCACCAAATTTGCGAAGAGTGCCTGTCACAAATGAGAAGTAGTTTCACAACTGCTGCCCTAGTCCTCACGTGGCCACCAGCAGCAACAGTGGGCAGAGGCCCTTAGCAGATGTAGATGTCACCAAATGAGGTCAAATCTTTAAGAAAGCATGTAGGATGTTGTCTGTGACTGCTCTAAAGAGAATTTTTCTTATTTTACAGAAACCTCCTCACATCTCAGTCAACTACCATTTCTCTCCCTTTCTACTCTAACATTATTTTCCCTTGGGAAAATGCCTGGGTATCTGATAGTTACACATTAATTCTTCAGAAGATTCTTAGAACCGTAGGAAACAGATGAAAAAACAAAATGCCTTGAACTTTAAACTGGAGCGCAGCTTGCAAGCATGAAGCGCTTTAAGGTCATGTCACTCTCTCCTCAGAGTGGCTGGAGGGCGATGGGCCAGGGAGGGCTCAGCTGCGTCCTGTAGGTGCTTTGATGCTTTCACTCTCTCGCTTGCTAGTTTCTTCACAGCAATGACAAGGGCTTCCTGCCCGGGCAACCCCACTGAATACCCCGGAAAATTTATGACAAAACACCTTTCTTACATTAACCAAACAGCCTGGGTGAAATGGCGGCACCTTTGAAATAAAGACATTAGGGTCTCCACTCCCAGTCACTCCCTCAAACTCTGGACCTTCAGGGGACCCCACAAACAAACCAGCGTTTCATGCTCTCTGGTGCACACTACTGCGTCTGAATGCTCCCTCAGCAACCATTCTGTGGGCTTTTATTCTTTAGCAATGACAAAGACTTTTAAAAAGAAAAACTTTTAATGCCACACCACTTTAATAACTATTGTGTTGCTGTTTTAAACACATACAGTGACAGATGAGGGAGATGACCATCTCCCAGGTGGACTCTTAAAAGTCTGGAAAGGAACAGTAGGAAAATCCCCAAACACCGACTCAGGGAAAGGGTTTCACAGAAATGGAGGCTGGTGAATTGGCCGGGCCTGCCAGGGCCAATGCCCTAAATACCAGGCACAGCTGGGAGTGGAGGTGCTACCAGCCCCCACAGTTCCCAGCAGGAGGCACAGAAGGCTCAGGAAAGTCCTGGAACCTCCAGCCAGAGTATAGTGCAGTGGAGACAGCTGGGGTCTAAGACAGAGAGAAGGTGCCAAGAGTTGTCACCTCAAAGTGCCTACCTGCCCTGTGGGCATGGCTTCAGAAACAAGGGCTTTACCTGTGAGCCCACCTGTGGCTCAGAGGGAAAAATATAAATAATGCTGGCTACCACTATTGAGAGCATTTACTATGTGCCTGAGCCATGCTAAATGCTTCACTTATATTTTCAAGTTAATACAACTCAGAGATCTCACTCCCTAGCTTCTCCCCATTTTATAGATGGGGAAAATGAGAGATGAAGTGACCTCCATGGGTTCCCCAATCAAAGGCAACCAAGCAGATGCATCTACCTTCGCACCTTCTTCCTGCCCTACAGAGAAAGGGTCTCCCCTCAGTCCTATGAAGAGGGTGCTCCTCTCATTCCCTTCCACCCAAAACTGCAGAATAAGAACAGCGTCCAGCTACCAGAGGGCCCCTGGCAGTTGGCTTGGGCCACTGCCCCACACCAGGTTCCATGTATATCTTCACCTAGAAGGTACCCACAGACACTTACTGAGCACCAAACAAATAATAGTGTAGTTAGTCTGGGGAATCGACTCTCAAAAGCAGCCACTATCCTGGAATTCTTAATAATTTTATCTCAACTTGCATAAGCGAAACCCGATGGGACACTAGAGCATATTCTAGTGAGCAGGGGTGGTGCGTGCAGCCCAGCCCCGCAGGCAGATCCCAGTCTCAGTGCACTACAAGCACGGAACCCTGGTGGACCCATGACGAATGAGATTCAGTGAGACTACAAATGAGGGCAAGGTGACATGTTACATATATGACTTTGCCAGCCAGGAAAGGCTACACTTTCCATTCCAAGCAAAACTTGCTTTGAACACTGGAAAAGGCAATAGAATTCTACAAAATACTAACAACCAAGAAGTTCTTTTTTTTTTTTTTAAAATATTTTATTTATTTATCTTTAGAGGGGAAGGGAGGGAGAGAGGGAGAGAAACATCAATGTATGGTTGCCTTTTGTGCATTCTCTGCTGGGAATTGGCCTGCAGGGAACTGGTCTGCAACCCAGGCATGTGCCCTGACTGGGAATCGAACCGTGATTGTCTGGTTCACAGGCCTGCGCTCAATCCACTGAGCTACACCAGCCAGGGCCTAAGAAGTTCTATCCTAATCTTCCTTATGTGGGGTACTTCCCTGTACCAGACAACCACACAATGAAGATGGTAACAGAGGGCAAAAGTGACTCAGAACCCCAGAGTTTCCCCACCTCTCAGTCTTTGCTCCATCATCAAGAGCTGATGGTGGGCAATGTTGGTAGAATGTACACATGTCGAGAACTGAAATAAATACAGTTGAGATAGTTTTGAGCAGTTTCCAGTTGTGGTCAGAATAAAATACATATGCATGCACAAGTTCTGAAATATTATCATTTCTGTGATTTCACATGCATTAAATACTCCTATATTTATATTTAAATTAAAATGGACATTACACAATATAAAGATGAATAACAAACTGAATGCTAAGAATTTAATATAATAGTAGTAAAATAACTATAAATAAAATAATAATAATAAAGTAACAACTAAAACATCATGACAAATCAAGAGAGAAAGACCACAGAAGAAAGGAAAAAAAACTTCATATTTTAGTGCCGTATAAGTGCACTCCTGCTTTCTGAACAAGGGACCCTGTCTTTCTCTCTAAACTGTTTTTCAAACCAAGAGCTCAAAGGCAGGGATCAAACCTTTTCTTCATTTCACATCTTCCATATCAGCCAGCACAGTTGAGTGCATGCAGTAGGCACTTAATCAATACCTGCTGCAGCAAAGCAAGTGGTTAATCCTTCTCAGTCCAGATTCCCAAAGAGACCCTGCAGGTCTTCAGTCTGTTTGTAATTTCTCAATTTCTCCTTGTCACAAAAAAACCCCACAAGTTCAAATACTGCTCCAGGTATAAATTTGCAGGAACTGAATTCAATCCTGTGGCTCTGCCACCATTTCCTTCAGATGTCCAGTCACAGAGGCAAAGTCCAGGGAGAGCAAAGTGACAGCAAAGTGCTCTGGAGCCCAAGACTCTGACCTGTGGCCAGTTACTCCCTGCCCTGCCCCCATCCTCCCTGGAGCAGGGGCAGTGGAAAGCACCCATATAGCTTTACAGAGCTAAAAGGCCATCTAGAACCTGAAAAACTAATCTCTAAGAGACAGCAGTTAGATCAGTGGGGGCAAGAGTGTGGAGGGGACACATTCTAGGATGATGGCAATGTTCTTGCCTTTTGTCAAAATCACCAAACTATGCACTTAATGTGTCAATTTTATTGCATGTAAATTATACCTCAAAGACAGTGAATATAAAAAAAGATTAAATGAGATCATGAAGGGAGGCAATTTGCAGGCCATTAAGCCTGGAATTATTCTTACCAGTTTATATTCTTATCTGAGCTCAACATAATTCACAGTCCCTAGTCAACAGGAAAAACAAAAACCCACGTATCTTTTATTTAGGATTTTCACAAGCATTCAAGTATTTCCAAAGTATTTCTGAAGCAGATTTGCGGTAGCCTTCCTTAAACTTCATCACTTTCTGGAACCCAACATGCAAGATAAGGCAGAGTAGCCGGTAACAGCCCTCTGGGGTCCTAGAAGGGAAGCGGCAAACAGCCTAGTCCCAGTGTGACAGAGGGTGCAGTGCCTCCTGAGGAACAGGGGCAGGGACTGGGATGAAGATTCAGGCCTCGCCAGCTGTTGTTACCTGTCCAGGGCCTGTCTGGACTGCCTCCTGACCAAGCAGAGGTATCCACAGTTGGCTACTAAGAAATGCAGCAAATGATTTGCCTTTTAGAATATTTTTGCAAGCCTGCTAGGGGAGAGCACAGCTTTTGACTTGCTTGCTGGCAGTTGCTCAAAATATGTTTTTTTCTGCCAGGAGCAAGCCTCCAGTCAAAGGAAAAAGAGCCTTGACTCTGCATCTTATCAGAACCTGCAGTCCATTCTGATGGGCATGGGAAAGGACGTTGGGTCTGGTTGAAGGCGGGTAACTCTCACTTTACTCTGTATGCCCTCAAAGGGTAATTTTTTTTCTCTTGTTGACAACTCAGGCAGTAAGTAGTGGAGGGAAAGGTAATGACTATCCATCAGTATATTGTTTAAAAGATTTTGTTTTTCAGAAACATTTTAGGGTTACATTAACTTAAAATGGTTTTTATTTGAATGTTTTGCTTACTTTCGTGAGAAGTGGGGAGTTTGGGAATGAACACAACTTAAAAACTTAAGTTGGAAGCAACACAGAAGAATAATAACAAAATACCGCACAAAGGCATTCCCGTCTAGGGGGCTTGCTAACAAAATACTCAAGAAATGAAGAGAACATATACCTGTTAGAGCAACTCTTACATGACCATTTTAGAAGTTAGGCCTACTCAAAAGTGATAAATAAAATTGCTGCAAATGCAGATGAAGCTCCTAGCTAGGCCTAGGCCCCTACATCTAATGTAATATTTCACAGCTTTGGAGGAACAAGTCTCCCAGAAGGAGGACAGAACAGAAAGCTGAGGGGTCAGATGTCAAAGCCAAGCCACTGCTGACCTTGGGCTGCCTTGCCCAGGTCAAGTGGGGCAAGGGCACAGCAGGTGGCAGGAGCTGAATGTATATGCTGGGCTTTCTTCTCTTGGGGCTCAGGATCCACAGCAGAGCCAGACTGTGCTCCCACTCCCCCTCCGCCTGCCTGTAACAGGGATAGAATGTGTTAGTCAGTGAGAGGACTGAAAAGTGACTGCCAAATACAGCTGCTGGATATCCTAGAACACCACCTACGCTATGAAAGGAACCCTGAGCACTACCCCAAAACTGGCAGCACAGGTGGCCCCTAACCCAGCTCCCCTGCTGCCGACAGCCCAGCAACACGAAATCATCCAAACTCCATTTCCAGTGGGCTCTTCAATTCAGGACTCAAAATTCTTTTGGTAGCAGTAACGGAATTTCTTTTGCCAAGAATATTATTAAAAAGCAGTTTAAAATGTCCAAAAAGATGTTGGCTACCTGAAGATAGGTAGGCAGGAGGAATGCAAACCTGGAAAAGTTAATTGCCTCCATTAGTGCAAAAAAAGAATCACCCCAACACATACACACACATCTACATGTACACATACCCATTTAAATTGTTTTAAAAAGACTTAAAAAAATAAAAACAACGCAAAATCAAGCTTGTTTTACTTTATTAATAACCTGTCCCCAAAATATGCAAATCCTTTTAGTGCTTTTCTAATTATCCCCAAATAAAACTCAATAAAAATAACTGAGAGACAAGTAAAAACTGAGTCACAGGTAAGAAAGGGAGTAGAAGAGGAATTAAGGGCATGCTACTGAACATGCTCTAAAACACCACTTTAAAGTGAATCCATTTACTCACATTCCTGAGTGCTAAACACAGCTTGTCACTTTACTGACAGTAGTCAGGAGTCTCTGAGTCCAAAACTTCTAGAAAAATATGATGTGTTAGAGTGACAGGGGTTTCAGGAGAACTAATGGATGCATCAAATGAATTAAATACAACCCTTTCATACACTATATTCCTCACTTCCCCTCCCCTCCTCCCAACATCCCACTTCAATGTTACAGTTGGGAGCAACTGACAGAAAGCCAGGGCCTTGGAGGCCAAGTACACCAATCTTCCTTAGGGTTTTCTCTAGTGTTTGGGGCTGGATCCCAGGACCCTAAATATTACTAAAAAACCCAGGGTGGTCTATACTTGGCTCTAAAAAAGCACTTAAAACCCAACACACAATCCACTCCTGGGAGAGCAAAATCCCTGTTAAAATATGAACGTCTCTTATTATGGCTTTGAGAATTATCAGAGAATAGATGCTGCTACATTCAGTTTAAATACTTTTTCAAACTTATTTCAAAAACAGCAGAATACTGGCTTTGTTGTTCAGTATGGAGCTTCCCTTTTTAAGTTTACTGTGTTCTTTCATGATAAAAAACTGGTATTAACTGCTTGTTAATGCCGCAGGAATTCCCCCTAAAGAGGAAAAAAAGCAATTCTTCATCAACCCCAGAGGGCAATGCTTTGCAAACCACCCAAAATTTAAAGGTTAACCAAAATCCTACTTGGAGCCCCTTAAAACTGCAACTCTTTACTGGCCCTTTGAATGTCCCCACCAAGAACCAGGACCCTAAGATCTGCTGTCCAGCATGAACCAGATGCAGAGGCTGCAGGGGAAGATGAAGGCGGACTCAATAAACCAGGTCCTGCTCTGACTGGTGTGGCTCAGGGGTTGGGCCTTGTACTGCAAACAGCTGCAGGATAGATCATTCCAGTCAGGGCACATGCCTGGGTTACATGCCAGTCCCCAGTTGGGGGGCATACGAGAGGCGAATGACTGATGTTTCTCTGGCACATCAATATTTTCTTCCTCTCTTTCTCCCTCCCTTCCCCTCTCTCAAAAAATAAACACATAAAATGTTTAAAAATATATAAATAAATAAACTAGGTTCTGTCCACTTTCATTATTTTTGAGTTAAGGAATTTATCTCTACTGTCATCTTGGAATAAAGACAGCTCTCCAGGTAGCTGGTTTCTGTTTCATGAATGGAAAAGACCAGTATAGCCCAGGTGGGCTACATCTCCACCCAAGAAGGAAAGGAGGGGCTTCTAGAACCTGTGTCTCCTAGTGTGTGAGAGAGCAGGCACTGAAGCCACCCTGCATTTCCTCGGTTGTCTGGCCTGTTCCCCAGCCGGGCTTGCAGGGCCCAGCCCTTCTCTCCTCCGTGGCAGGAATGCTTCCCAGCCCTGCCCAGATCTCTTGGGAAGACAGAGAGCGCCAGGGGAAAACGGGCTTGGGCCCAGTTTGTTAATTTCACCTATTTCCTGAGAGAGGAAGAAAAGTCATTGTATGGGGGCTGATACATTCTCTCCCCTCCTTTAGCAGTCCTGCAAGGCAGGTGTTACTGTCCCATTTCACACATGGGAATCCAAGGCTCAGAGGAATTATTTAATTAAAACAGCACAGCTATTAAATGGAATGGCTCAATCCAAAATCCATATACCTTCCCCCAACATACACTGTGGTCAACCAGAAGAAAAACACAGGGTTTTGGTGGTAGAAAATACTGACGCTCTCCCTGGTTTTCATAGCAGATAACCATGAAACCATATGTAAGTAGTGTTGCTATTCCCCACCTGTCACACCTGTGGGAGGGGCCATGCGTTAAGCTCTTGTCTTTATAACTTTAAAGACCAAAGCCAGATTCAAAGTTTTTGTAAAGCAAGGAGTGATCTACCAGCCACCAAGATTCTGTTACTATTATCTGCAGAGTATTCAGTATTTGCAGGCTAGTTGAAAGATTATTCATTCATTCACCCATTCAGTATTTTCTGAGCATCTGTGATAGGCCAGGAATCATGCTAACCACCAGGGACGTGAACATAAGCAAGACAGCAGTCCTGGTTCTTAAGAAGCTGCAGTTTAATTGGGAGATAAATATATTAAAAGATAAGACACACTTGGGTCCAATGTGTGTCTTGTGTCTTGTCGGCTCCAATGAGCAACATGCATGGGGAAGCGGGGTATTATGTGTCCTGAAGGAGGATGCTACCTGGGCAGCAGAGTCCTCCAGGAGAAGCAGGGCAGGGAGAAGAGGGTGGTCTGGGCAAAGGGGACGTGTTGCCTGGGCACAGCTGGGGAGCCAAAGCATGAGCCTGAGAACTGGGGAGCAGGAGAAATACGGAGGCTGGGCCCAGGTCACCAGGGACTCTGGATTTCAGCTCTGTGTGATGGCAATAGTTATGGGATATTAAGTAACTCTGGGAAGCGACTTAGTTAAAATTTATAATTTAAAAAATTATCTCAAGCGACCCCAGCGAAGATTGTTTGGCAGTATCAGTTGAAGCTGCGTCTACGTTTTCCCAATGACCCAGCGAGTCTACTGCAGGCAGATGTTCCACAGGACATGAACACAGTTCACCAGAAAAAAACAAGTAAAATTATTCTGATAAGCTCCATTCGTAATAGCACAAAACTACATGCTACCCAAATGTCCATCAACAGTAAAATGGCCTAATAAAATGTGCTACACTGGGAAAACTCTACAGCAAGAACAAATGAACTACATTTAACAGCAGGGATGAATCTCACAAGTGATGCTGTGCCTCGGCCCGCGGAGGGGCAAACAAAGGATCTGAACTCAAATTTATTTCATGGAGGGGAAGAGGAGAGTGGAGGAGGCGGGGGGTGGAGGGGAGTTTTAGCTTATCAACATCCTGCCATTCAATCTCTAGGGTGTTTCAGGCTTATCCCAGCCCCCAACAATGCTGAGTGAAAGGAGTCAGACAAAAATAGTGCCTACTACATGACTGCACTTATATCAAGGTAAATAACTACCACACTGACCTCTACTGCAGATGTCAGAATGGTGGATACCCTGGGAAGAAAGTATTGACTGGTAAGGACATGACACCTGATTCAGGTGCTGGTTGCCTGGGTGTGTTTCTGTTATGGAAATCCATTAGCTATGATTTCTACACTTTCCTGATATATCTTATACTCTTGTAAAATGCACATTTAATTTTGAAAACATATAGTAACAGAATAGAGAACATCTTTGTGAGAACAAGGCTTACAAACTTAAAACTACAGTGAACAGAGGAAGACAATTATAGTGCCACATATAATTTAATGGAATTTGGAGGTGAGAAAACCAAAGGCTTTGTAGAAGTGGCTCACTCCCTTCCATGTTCTCCCAGGGCATGAGAGTGAAGGCAGATTTCCTAGGGCTACAGAAGGCACCAAGTCATAATACAGTCATTCTCAGATTGAAGAACTTCCAATTACAGAGGAGTTAAATGATACCAACTGGAAGCAAAAGGGCATTTTATGGGAGAATTTTTTTAATTAAAAAATTGATGGTGATTTCCCTGATTTAAGAGACCTGAGATTATAATAGCCCTGGGTAATGTGCAGACCTTGTTTGGATTCTGATTTGAACTTATCTACAGTAAAATGACATTTCTGAGACAATCAGGAAAATCTGATAGGTATATCTAGGTAAATGATGACACCAGGAAAATCAAGGTTAAATTTTGGGGTATGGATAATTGCATTATGATTCAGTGAGAAAATACCCTTATTTTTGAGATGTAAGTATGGATGTATCTAGGGTTCCTGAAATATTATGATGTCTGATATTTTAAAATACTTCAGTAAATCAAAAGATTAATGAGGCATATGTGGCAAAATCTTGGTCATTTATGAATCTGGGTGATAGCTAGATGGGATGGTTCAAATATACCTGCTGCTTTTATAGATCTTCCCACTCCCACCAAAAAAAGAGAAAGAAAGATATTAACAATATAAAAAATTGAAGAGGTAACATCACTATGTAGATCACAGATGTTTAGAAGAATAACAAGGGATGCAGGAATTTTGTACCAATAAATCTTAGAACTCAGATAAAATGAAAAATTTCTTAACATGCCCAAACTACTAAAGTTCACTATAGAAAAAAATAGTAACCTAAATAGCTGTACATCTATTTATGAACTTTTACTCAAAGTTAAAACCCTTGCATAGAGGTTGATGGCTTTGTTGGTGAATTCTACCAAACATTTATGGGAGCAATCATACAATTATTAAATAAAATTTTTCATACAAAAGAGAAAGGAACTCCTTTTATGACATGAATATTTTCTGATAATAAAACCAAATAAAGACACTTGTAGAAAAT